ACCCGCAGGGAAACCGCATGCGATTCACATAGGAATCGCACCATATTCCACTTTAAATTACATATGATTCTTTGCAGTGTGGCTCATTTTGAATGGGCTCAAATTGTACCACACTACACAAAAAAAAAAAAAAACAGGTATCGGTAATTGGTATTATCGAGTACTTGATAAAAAGTATTGGTACTTGTTCTCAATAAACTGGCATCGGTGAACCCCTAGTTGCACTGTGACAGTCCCTTAAGCGGGGTGGTCCATGATTCTCTGCACTCACAATATATTCTTAGCTTTCTGGGTTGAACAACGTTGGGCATCTTTCAGTCCAGTGCCAGTGACAAGATAAGTATTGCAGCCAGAGCTGCTTTTTTATTTTCAAACCTACTGGGACATCATTTACAAATCAAAAAATAATAATTAGCCTGGATTTTGGCTTTAAATAATGGACTACAATTATTAAAATTATTATGATTATAAACATTATTATTATTATTATTAGCAGTAGTAGTAGTAGTAGTAGCAGTAGTAGTAGTCTTAGTAATAGTAGAGTTGTAATAATAATGGTAATAATAATAATAATAATAATAATAATGTATCTACATCATCATGTATTGTACAAAGTAAATGTTAATATGTGTGCCTAGTACAGATGCAAAGGCTATGAATAGAATATGTTTTAGATGATAGGTACACTCATTTGTATAGAAAATAATATGTTCACAGCAATGACAGTACACAACAGGAGAGAGTCTCTGTCCATATGAGTTTATATTCTAGAGATCCTAATTTTAAATGTTTTTAATTAGTCGGGGGTTCTTCGAATATTGTGACCTCTATGATCTGAAGTAGAGAGTGCTTTTGTCTCAATGTTTTGAAATAAACACATTATACAAATGTATTTTCTAACCTTCTAGCTCAATGATTGCGAATGGGTTTAATTCTAATCCGTGAAAGTCTATCAGATCATTTCCACTTATATTTTGCTTTTTGAAAATTATTTTCTGAAAGAAACATTCAACAAGAGCTGAACTGGAAACATAATCTGAAGCTCTACCAAACCACCAAGGAATGACTTCGATTGAATTCTACACATCCTAGCTGGTCACCAAGCGCAGCTGTCACTGAACTGTAGCTATCAGCAGCAAACAGAATCCATTGCTGCATTGCCTTTCATCTGCCTATCAAAGGAGCAGAATGCCATGCAACTGTTTTGGGTTCACATAGAACTGTGTGTCATTTGAACATAACAAGCTCTGGTTGGAGAAATATTGATATATTAATTTTCTAAAACATGCATGTATCCACTATCTGCTATGTTACTCATGTGAATAAATTTAAAGGACATGTGCAAGACCAGGCTACCATTCACACAAATCTATCAGTGATTTTCAAAAGAGCACCCGGCATTTGAGAGCAGGCAGCTTATAAACTCTGATCTTCTCCGTCCTCAATGTATTTTGTGCTCAGTGGTTTCATGAATCCCATAGCAGCACACACAAGCAAGTGGAACCTATTTGCTGAGGTCAGATGGGCAGGTAAACTAAGGAAACAAGCATTAAAGACTAGATCACCTTTGCAGGACTGCATACTAGGAGGCAGGCCTTTATCCCAGTCCTTTATCCATGTGCCTCAAATAAACACAGTGTACTTTGTCCGAGAGTCATTATAATCAGATAGAAACATCTACTAGAATCTAACCATTGGAGAGTGATAGTTTGAATATGAATGGGGAGGTTATTGATTAAGAAGAGAGTGGTGTGTGCTATATGCTATAGGACGGAGAAGATCAGAGTCTGGCTTCCGTCCCCTACACTCCACCGAAACCGCCTTACTCAAACTCTCCAACGACCTTCTAACCGCCAAAGCTAATGGCCACTATTCAGTGCTCCTACTCCTTGACCTCTCTGCGGCCTTCGACACAGTTGACCACCCCCTCCTCCTCAAAATACTACACTCCCTTGGCCTCAGAGATTCTGCTCTCTCCTGGCTCTCATCCTACCTGTCACAACGCTCTTTCAGCGTTACCTATAATGCTACCACCTCCCCCTCACTCCCCCTCTCTGTTGGGGTCCCTCAAGGCTCTGTCCTTGGGCCCCTTCTCTTCTCCATCTACACCTCCTCCCTTGGCCAACTCATACACTCTCACGGCTTCAACTACCACCTCTATGCCGACGACACACAAATCTATCTCTCAACCCCCCACCTCACCCCCTCGGTCTCTGCCCGAATCACACACCTACTGAGCGACATATCAGATTGGATGTCGCTCCACTTCCTTAAACTGAATCTCTCCAAAACCGAGTTTCTTGTCTTCCCCCCAGCCCGAACCCCACCCCCATTGACTTCTCCATCACATCCAACAACGCCAATATCAAACCCGCCCTGCAGGCCAGAGTACTTGGTGTCATTCTGGACTCCAACCTATCCTTCCAGCCCCAAGTCCAATCTTTAACAAACTCGTGCAGACTCCACCTCCGCAACATTGCCAAAATCCGCACGTTCCTAACCCCAGAAACCACTAAACAGCTCATCCACTCCCTCATCATATCACGACTCGACTACTGCAACTCCCTCCTCACTGGCCTGCCTCGCCGCTGGCTATCCCCGCTTCAGTCGATCCTGAATACGGCTGCCAGACTCATTCACCTTTCCAACCGCTCCGTTTCCGCCACCCCCCTCTGCCAATCCCTCCACTGGCTTCCGATTGCGCAACGGATCAAATTTAAAATCCTAACACTGACGTACAAAGCTGTCCACCATACTGCCCCGAACTACATCACCGAACTAATATCCAAGTACCACCCAACACGCACACTCCGCTCCTCACAAGACCTCCTTCTCTCTAGTTCCCTGGTCTCCTCCTCCCATGCCCGCCTCCAGGACTTCTCCAGGGTGTCACCCATCCTCTGAAACTCCCTTCCCCAACCCATCAGATTATCACCTACTCTCCTCTCCTTTAGGCGCACCCTGAAAACCCATCTCTTCAGGGAAGCCTACCCCCTGCTAACTTGACCGACCTCCTCCACTCTTCCTACCACTCCATCCCCCACAGCTATCTCCTCCTGTACCACTATCCCGTCCCTTCTAGATTGTAAGCTCGAAAGAGCAGGGCCCTCAATCCCCTCATGTTTTGCATTGTATTGGTATTGTTCTGTCACATGTTCTGTTCCCCTTTGTAATGTACAGCGCTGAGTGAACTATTGGCGCTTTATAAATACTGTATAATAATAATAATATGCTCTGTTTTGGTCCGACAAAAATAGAATCAATCTAAAGGAGCTGAATCTTTTTTTTTCATACATTTTGCACATAACTTATCCCAGTAAATATGCTGGCTCTAGTAAATATCCACCAAGCTAGCCTTGGCTGGGTACTGGGTTTTGTTTGGAACAAAAAAAAAATAATAAAAATAAATGAAGTGGAACTAAATTTATAAATTACATTTCGGTGAATGCATACCTTGCCCTGGTTAACACCAAGGATTAATAAAAAAAAGCAAACCAGATTAGAGATTCAGCTCTAGCACCTCAGACCAGTAGAGCACCTCTTTGGTTACACTGGTTCTCTCTCAGCTGGTTGAGCAGATGTACTTCTCAGCTGCATACATTTCCATGGGATATGTAATGTCTCATGGGCTGATACTTGAGTAGTCCACAGAAGTTTGTGCAGTTGACTAGCACAGGTTCTAAGCTTAGCCGACTGAAAGAGAACTGATGAAAACACAGAGGTGCGCTACAAGTCTGCTGGCTGGTAGATGGAAGATTCGTTCTGAGTTTTTTTTCACTGCAGGTGTTGAGGAGGGTGCTGTGAGCCTTACAGCATGTGGAAATGGTTCACCTACACTTTTAGGTTGTTTAAAACAAAAACTATTTGAATATCGTACATGAAAAAATTATGATAAAGGTAAATAAATAACATTTCGCCAACTACAGCATAATTTCAGTAAAAATGATCAAGTGTGCCTGAAACTGATGGTGGAAAATGCATATTCTCATGATTTCAATACAATTAAATTCGATGTGTATATCATTTTATTGATCAATTCACTCACAACATGCATGTCCACCATTTCTGGGTGTACTTCTATTATGAATCTGAGCCTTGATCCATTTTTTGCAAAAATATTGTAACATGAGAGAATAAAAATGTTTTTTCTTGAGTCGAGTTGACATCATAAGCAAAGTATTTCAGTATAAATAGTATAACATAGTATATGTTATAGTAGAAGTCAATCAATACTTTTAAAAGATCTTTTATCAGGTTTAGGAATATATGAAAAGAATAAAATACAGTGGCAACAAGGTTGTCTTGTAATCTGATTGGTGTAAATGATAACAAAATGTTCAGTCTCACCCTTTTACATTCAATTACTAGTTGTACCAACTTTAGCTGTAATCACTACAATTATCAACTAAACAGTTCATGCAACTGACTGACCCTGCATATACACTCACCAGCCACTTTATTAGGTACACCTTGCAATTGCCAAGAAAATATCCCCCACCACCAACCTGAATCATTGATACAAAGCAGGATGGATCCATACTTTCATGTTGTTTATGTCAAATTCTGACCCTACAATCTGAATGTCGCTGCAACCAGTCTGCCCATTCTCCTCTAACCTCTGACATCAACAAAGCATTTTCATGCACACAACTGCTGCTCACTGGATATTTTCTGTTTTTTGGGACCATTCTCTGTAAACCCTAGAGATGGTTGTGCTTGAAAATCCCAGTATATCAGCAGTTTTTTAAATACTCAGACCAGCCCTTCTGGCACCAACAACCCTGCCACGTTCAAAGTCACTTAAATCCCCTTTCTTCTCCATTCTGATGTTCAGTTTGAACTTCAGCAAGTCGTCTTCACCATATCTAGATGCCTAAATGCATTGAGTTGCTGCCATGTGATTGGCTGATTAGCAATTTTTGTTACTAAACAATTGAACAGGTGTACCTAATAAAGTAGCCGGAGAATGTACTGTATATGGCTAAATCAGGCGTGTGGTGTGTCAAGCAAATGGCCTGTAGATGTCACTATTTACAGCCATCAGGGGTGGACTGACAACTCACGGGGCCCCCGGGCAATAGGGGATCATGGGGCTCCTGTGTCCTCTCCCACACTTTCTAACCACACCCAAAAAGCCTATGAAAGGTACCAGGGACATCTCCTGGGGCCCCCTACTGACGCTGGGACCTTGGGCAGTGCCCGAGTTCCCCAATGGTCAGTCCACCCCAGACAGCCATGTATAATACTTCTTACACTCTATACAAGTTAGTTCTATTTCCTTTTTATTCCTTTCTATTCTGTTCCTTTCTAGCATTCGTATTGTGCTATACACATGTTTCATGGGCGCCTGAACTTAGTAATAAAGCCCTCAATAACTACTCTGCCTCCCAAACTACAAGACACAACAAGATGAGTGGTGTCACCTTTTCTTCCTGGTTGGAGGCCGAACTGACAAGAAAACTTCCCTTGCAACTCTAGTTAGCACACCTCCAGGGGCGGAATGACAACTCATGGGGCCCCCAGGCAATAGGGGATCATGGGGCCCCTGTGTCCTTGCCCAAACTCAAAAAGCCTATGAAAAAGGTACCAGGGGCATCTCATGGGGCCCCCAACTGACCCCGGGCCCTCGGGCAGTGCCCGAGTTTCCAAATGGTCAGTCCGCCCCTGCACACCCCTATATATAGTGACAGGGCATGCAAGGCACAAAGTAGCATGAGTACTGAGGTTCAGGTTGTTGATAGTTGCTCAGAGCGGTGATCAGCAAGGACTGTATCTAGGCAGCAGACAGGAGTCTCAGAGGATTTGCAGATGGCAATCTGTACACCCTGCAGGATGCAGGGCAGGACTAGCTGGGCAGGTCTGGTTCAAGGCATTCCAGAGAAGCAGGAAACCAGATATTCTTTTTAAAAATCCATTTTTCCCCTATGTCTCATATCTTGGAATATGAGAGACTTACATAAAAACCAGGCATATCGCCAGATTGGCCAAGAGAAGACGAACAGTTTGGTAGGTCACTCTCCTTGGTTCGAATACATAGGAAAGCAGAAAAATAGATCTCGTGAACCATTCAGTGTAGAATTTCATAATTCATATCTAATCAATCCTCAGACGTGTCTGCATAATAATCTACCCACGGGTGGTGTGTCACTTATGCATATGGCAAGTTATGAGCCAAAGTATGAACTAGAAGAGATTTTGGCTCTAGTTTAGGCCTACGCCCAGACCTTCCCGCCCTAAACGGGGTATTGGTCCTTGACTTCAGAGACATCCCCTGCTGGGGAACTACAAATTGGGTTGTCAGGCCTAGCCTAAGAAAAGTTAAGTTGAAGAATTCTCCCGTTGACCATCGAAACAGAGGGAGATCAAAGCACCCTTCTGCTCTGAAACTTGATCTGCTTAAATCCAAGGCTTAATGGGAAGTACTTTAACCCTTTAACCTCCTTCTGTTATCTCTTTGCTGTGCTGTTGTTCTCTGTATATTTATATATTTATTGGTTACATCTTTTTGTTTCTGTAAATATTTTTATTGCACCCGTTTGACCTTTTAGTAATAAATCTTTCCTTCTGAAAGTGTTGAACTGTTTCTATAGCTCTTTATTGCAATTTGCAAATTCCTCCCTCTAAAAGAGTGCTACTGTGTTTGTTTAACCCTCTGTATAACCAACCTGCGGTGACTGTGTTATACAGATGATTATCTCAACCATTATAGTTTTATAGCTGATATTGCCGTGTTTCCTCTTTCTCTGTACAAAAAAGGAGGTGGTGGCAGTGTGAAGGGTTAATTGTGTAATTAACCTGACCCAGTAACAATCGCTCAGGCTGCCGGTACATAGATTGTGGTCCAATTAGCTGGAAAATCGTTGTGCAGGGTGCAGCTGGGTGTGCCATTGTTATGCACGTGACATCGCGGTTTTAGATTGGCTAGTTCTTCGGTCATGAGTTTGGTGAGAAGGGCTGGGGCCTGATGCCTCAATTGTCACATATTGGTGACAGCGATCATGGAATCGTCACATATTGGTGGCAGCGATCTTGCGTCCGTCACACTCCTGCTACTCGTTCCTTAAATAGGGTGTTCCGGACCATTTCTGGAAATGGTCATTTGTAAAGGTGAACCAGCATATGCAAACATCCATGCCATGTCCGTATGCAAATTGGTGGGCAAATGTCTGTGCCCATGCAGGTTACTGGCAGAATTTCCCAACATATGTATTGGTACCTTTGCATTTCTGCTTTAATTAGCATCCTCACACACACCCTGGCAAACCTGCAATGCCTTTTACTGCTTGGATTCATATACTGTATGTAAATATTATATAGTTACTGCTAATCAGGAGGACTTACCTGCCCACTTTCATTATTCACTGCAGAATGATGGCTAGTTTTCTATATGCTACCAGCAGCAGATGCAACCCACTGTATGATACAGGTCTCATTGCCTTAAAGAAACATGTTACATATTCCACCTGTTTTTAGCCACTTTTTGAAAACAGCGTGGCTGTGCAGGGGCTTCGCCCACATGGCCACATCATTCATTGATAGAGGTCTGTGAATGAATTAACTACAAGTACTGTCATCCTTTGTGGATGTCAGCTTGTAGTTCTCAATGAACTACCACGATGCTGTGGAGTACCATTGTAGTTCATTGACTCTTCCTGTCAGAAGTATTGGCTTGCCTGTACGGGATGTATGAGCAAGCAGATACACTGACAGTTTGCAGGAGACCTGCATGGCACCAGTGCAATGTTTTACAGGCTCCTACTACAAACCAGGCCATTTTTTGCAATAAGGAACTGTGGTATTTGATCGCCTGTGCGGTTTTTATTCTTTGCACTATAAAAAAAAGACTGACAATTTTGAGAAAAAAAACAATGTTTTTGACTTTTTGATATTAAACATGTACAGTAAAAAAATAAAAAAAAAATTAAATTTCCTTATAAATTTAGGCCAAAAGGTATTCTGGTACATGTCTCTGCTAAAACAAAAACCCAATACGTGTAAATTGATTGGTTTATGTAAAAGTTATAGCATTTACAAATAGCAGTAGATATACTGGGCTTTTTTTTTTTTTTTAATTTTTACTAGTAATGGCAGTGATCAGCGACTTATAGCGGGACTGAGGGACTGTGGCAGGCATTCTGACACTGGGGGGAACTGATTTGGTGTCAATGACATTCACAGTGACACCAATATAGTGATCAGCGCTAATAAAAAGCACTGACACTGTACTAATGGGACTGGGCATGAAGGGGTTAACATGTAGGGCGATCAGAGGGTTAACTGTGTGGTGTGTGCCATTTTAAAATGTGTGCTGTATTTGTGCTTCATTGTCAGCACACTGCTTTGCATGGCTGTGCTGTGCATAGCCATGCAAAGCAGTGTGCAGGAGCTGACAGGGAGGAGAACTGTTTTGTTTACTAACAGTTCTCTCCCGCGTTGGAGATCCTTTGCAATTATGCCTGCGAGTAATCATCGGCCGGTACCCGGTGATTGACAGTTGCAGCTGCGAATGGCGGCGCTGGTGGAGCTCACGCGCGCCCCTACCTGGAAACGCAAAATCACGTATATATATACGTGATTTTGCGCACAGTTGCCACCCTGTAGCAGTATTTCTGCTATGGGGCAGAGCTGAACAGGTTAAAGATCTTTTTTGTGTCTGCAATCAATGTGGTTGCAGAACGATATAAATTCAGCAACATGGACAGCATGAAGGTGAATTCACATTACAACTTATAGCAGCTTTGCAATAGTTGGTTTTCCACCTCTGAATTTTGTTTTTAAACAGAGGAAACATAAGAGACCAACTAGTAAAAAAAAACACTCACCTTAGAGAAAAAATGCTCTTGGAACACGATTTAACTCTATAAAAGGATATCAAGCCACAGTGAAACTGTTAAGGCAGTCAGAGGACTACCATACAGGCTGTGAATTGAGAATCTGTCTCTCATAAGGTATATACTCAGGCCCAGTATAAAGGTACAGCAAAAGATACAACTGAATTGCAATGTAGAGCTGCACATATACAGAACAAGTACTGCTTCAGGTGTTCAACTCAGCACATTGCAATCCATGTTGCGTGCCCTGCAAAAGATGCATGCTGCTGTAAAGAGTATGGAACTCTTTGAGATCATCTGCTGTACTACTGCTGGACAGGTTCATGAAGTTATTGGCCCCGAGGTTACTGTCTTAAGTGTAGATAAATATGAAGCTTACATTCCAGGTAGACCTCTGTGAACTATAAGTATTATCGCTTCTACTAACAAGGGCTACTCCATTATCCTGATGCTTCATACAGGAACTACTGTCTCTATACTGCCTGATGAAGTCTACCAAAAGTACTTTGATAATAGACCCCCTGCTGCATCTACTCTGCAACTGGTTAACTTAGAGACACAATTCCTGTGTTTGGTTGCCTACTAGTAACTGTAAATTTGAATAAAATAGTGTTGATGCTGAATTCTTCATTGTAAAGGAAGGTGTTAATATCACAACACTTACCCGGGGGCGGACTGACCATTTGGAAACTCGGGCACTACCCAAGGGCCCGGGGTCAGTAGGGGGCCCCATGAGATGCCCCTGCACTTGCCCTTTTGCTACCAGGGTGCATATTTTTACAACTCAGTGACACCTCTTCGGGCTGTTCAAAGAACTCTGTACACAAAATGAAAGTGTGATGGAATGTGAAAAATGTATCCTTCTCTGTAAGAGAAGCTGTTTCCCAGGTACTAAAAGCTGATTTCCAGATTTCCTGTGACTTTAATTAGTTTGTTTGGACCAAACTGGTCCAAAGGAACTATTTCCTTCACTAAGTTCTGCAGTGTCTGTAAGTACTGTAGGTAGCTTTAGCTTTAGCTACCTACAGTACACAGTGCTGGGTTCTGGCTGTGAGACAGAGACTTCCCGTCCCTAGCAGACTGATGATGCCATGCTTTCCGCCAACTAGAGGAAATGTGTGAATGAATGCAAAGCTGCCTTTGAATAGCTGAGAGCCGCTAAGACTGATTGGAAGTCTCTGTCTCACAGCTGCCACTGTGTACAATATGTAGCTGAAGCTGCATACAGTTCATACAGCACTTAGAGCCAGTGCAGCACTTTTGAAGGAAACAGTTTGTTTGCACCAGCTTGGTCCAAATGAGTTATTTAAAGTCACTGGAAACCTGTAGATGAGCTTTATTACTAGAAAAATGTATGTTTAAAAAAAATATATGCATCTGAATGGATATCACCTATTGTGGTGACAATTAAATATTGCGCGTTAACCTTTATTAACCAATAAAGCTGTTTTTATTGAATGCTATCCCTTATCTCACATATTTGCAGACACATTTTTAAAGAAGGGGGTTAACTGGTATTGGCAAAGTTAAACCATGTTTCGGAGACAGGGAAATTCAAAAACTGTCTGAGCAGCAGTTTTATTCAGCAAGGCTGCAAACAAACATAGGAAAGATTTGTACAGCAAGTCCATGGCACAACCAAACTCAGGGTCATTCTTGACAAACAGGGTGCCCCCTATTGGATTCTCAAAAAAAAACACGTGAAGCAAAAGTCCACAACATCAGCCAGCTCACGTACAGTAAATGAATGTCTGTGATGAACCTAATAATTAGGTCTGACTACTAGATGACTACTAGATAAGTTGTGGACCTAGAAATGAAGGCTGTATCCCACCCAAAGCTCCACAAAGCCTCCGGGTCGCAGGAAAC